ATAAGGACCCTACCTTTCCAACTCTCCTGGTTACCTCCCTGCTTACTTCTTTTATTCCATTTTAAAATTAGATTACATCAAGATCATAAAGAAAAGAGATTCTTTCTCTTTTTTGCAGGAAAAGAGAGAACAATTGGCAAGTTTTAACATAGAACACTGCACGAAACTGAAACTCAGAAAGCTGAACATAGCATCAGGACGTCTCCTCTACTAAAGTTAAAAGCTGATAAACTTTGCTGCCTGTGCATTTGCCTGGACAAGCTAAGAGTGCCAAATACCCCACATTACATTCCCTTCACAGAACAGGTAGATTGTCTCCTTTTTCTCGTAGCTCCACAAAATGCCAGGACCCATTCCTTGGACCTGTGTGTCCCCCTTCTCCCTGCTTGTATTGATCAAGGTCCATGCATAGGCCCTACACTGTCCTTCCTCTATGTGTGGTCTTGTATAGCTTCTCCTGTCCTCGCCATGCTTGCAGGTTAGTAGCTGACAAAACCTGTTGTAGAGAACGTGACTGTTGTCTGTTTCTGTCTGTGCCAAACACCATTTAATTGTTACTCCAGTGAAACCAGAAAGACTGTTTTCTTCTTCATCTGCTTCTTCTTCATCTTCTGAATACTAAAAGAGTCTATCTTTTCTAATCTCTGACTGGGAACTAGTATTTCAGAGCTTTCCAGGTATTGGAAACATATGTAATGTTTTCCTAAATGAGATCCGAGACCTGCCAACTCATTCAATAGATCTTTAAAATTGTGTCATTCTGATTATCATGTGTTTCTCTATATCCCCTTAGATATTGACAAGATCTTGTTAAAGAACTCCTTGTAACTCAAAAACTACAGGAAACTAGTGCAAGGTACCTCGTGAAGGCTTACAGAGCGCACAATATGCCATTTCTGAGAAACGTCATGTCACAGGATAAGAAACTTCTGTTTCTACACTGTTTTTATAGACTGACAGGCATTACAAAAGACAGAACAGAATTTTGTAGTCATTATTCTTTTAATTTTATTTTAACCTCTGGAATTCCAAAATATTTTGACCATCGACATGATTGGTGATTTCTCAGTTTAAATGTTCAGTTTTGTTATTGATCCCTAAATGGATACACCAAGCCTTCAACCACAAAAATTAGTGCAGCAGACAAGAAACATTAAGGTAATTATAATGATCATAAGCTAGTTTTCAGAGCGAATTTCACAAAATAGCTGAGAGAATCCAGGCCCATGATACTGAAAACATCATGCAAACATGAAACAAGAAAACCTTTCTAATGTTATGTCTGCTTGTTAATTGCACAAAGGCAGGCTTCCAAATTGTCTGTCCAAAGGTGTCTGATTCTTTAGTCTGTTTATGCTCATAAGCATTGAATTTCAAATATGAGAAAAGTTCAATATCTGCAATTTTTCTTACTGTAGCCCTCTTCCTTCCTACTTATACTTCAAGAGTCTGTCAAACTTGCAGATGGTTTCTATTAAATACTAATGGTGGTATCATTAACATTGTACAATTAAACAGTCCAAAGAAAAACATCATCCTTTGAATGCCTTTTAAAAATCTCAATAAAATTACTCCATGTAACTGGGCAACAGGTTATTTATTCCTTTAGAAGGTATCCTCCAGGCAATAGAGGAAAAAAATCTATGTTGAAAAAGTGCTGTCTTACTGCAGTTGTCTAGTCGTGGTACTAATACAGGATATTTCTGAATTACATTATCTGCTTGGAGAGGGGAAAATTCTTTAGACTAACCTACTTTATGCTATTTCATTTAAAATTCAAAAAACAACAGTTCAAGGATTAACAGATAGGATAAAACCACAGTTTCTGTATATTATCATGAGAAAGTTTGGTTTTATTCTAAAAATAGAGAAGTGGAAAAGTAGATTGAAAATGACCTATAAAATTCAGTACTTGCCCATAGATATAAAATTGAATCACTGTGAATCACATAATTTTCATCATCATGACATGTTTTATTATTTTTTATTTGGGTAACACTGTAAATTGATACAGTCCTTCCAAATTAATTTAAAAAAACAGCCCTCTGCTAAGAAGCTGATAATGTAATTTGGATAGGTGGTAAAGAAGCAGCACATGGTTAAAGAAAAATTATAGAATGGAACCAGTAGCGGAAAATTCCTTACAAGCAGTGTTTTTGAAGGGAAGAAGAATTTAACGAGACAGGAAAGACTGCAAGTGAAACTAATAGATGGCATCTTAGATGCTGTTTGATGTGAAACAGCGTATCGATTCCATATTATATAGTATTTGAACACTATTTTCACTCCAAGATTTAAAGTGTTCCTGATAAAAGCCAAATCTGACTGCTTTGAAGGGAAAGTGCACAATTTGATTAATCTGGAGAAAATCAGAACCTAATATGGGGGAAGCTATAGTTTGTGGTTAAAATACAAGAATCTGAGATCAGATGTTGAACCAAACAAAACTGGAATTTAAGTGGTAAAAGACAGTGTTGGAAGGGAAGAACAAGGCTAGGAGCAGGGAGAGAGGAGTGTAGATAAAGAATTGAGAGAAGGAAGACGAGTAAGGAATAGGGGTGAAAAGACAACAAATATGCTATTTTTAGTAGGACTTTAGAAGAAGTTATGTATTGTAACCATAAGAACTTAAGCCTTCATCTGCTGTTGAACTCCTCCCACTTGGATGCTTCTTTGCTGCCTTTGCATTTTGTATCCGTATGTTGCATATGCTGTGTTCCAAAGTTGTAAGTGGGCACGAAGTTATGCTTTAGCCCTGGAATTTCTTTATGCAGAAAGATTTTGTTTAGACTAGCTTTCTGCCCAATCTTGGAACAGAGAAAGATAATTTGAATATCAATTTGATCACCACAAAAGCGGAAGTTCAGGTAACGTAAGTGAGGGCAACTCACTGTGCCAACGTCATTAAGGGAAAAAGCAGTGATCTTCTGGCAGAGAGCCAAAGAGCTTGTAAGGGAATGGGGATTAAAAAATTTATACGCTTGCTCAGCCTGAGTGGTTTGACTGGCATGGAAGCAAAACAACAAGCTCATCCCCTAGGAAGAGAGGACAAAACAGTCAGCAAAGCAGCCAAAGGGTCATTTGGCATTTCAGAGAAGGGGACAAAGGGGCAGTGTAATGGCCTGGTACATTTGACTGGAGGTCAGAGCCAGGAATCCTGATTACCCATTGCAGCTGTCTCTTGGGTTTACTCTGTGGCTGGAGCCTGGTGCTTTCACCTTTTTGTCTCCTTGTCTTCACAGCAGCAAAATGTGAATGGTGATATTAATAGCATTTGCAAGTATTTCCTGATGCTTAATTCAGTAGCACGTTTGAACAATGCAAAGGCACCTAGAAACATTGCACATTTTTCATCCCCTTGTTTGTACAGTAGAAAGCCTCATGTACAACCATTACTATCAGTGTACAGATGGCAAGTTTAGACTGTAATTAGTTTTATAAAGCGAGCAGCAAGAGTGTTTCCAAGCAATACACAGAACAAAAGCATTAAGCGTGCCCTATACATTCCTTGGAACTGGTCTCTGAAGTCCTTCAAGCTCCATTGTGTGTGGATGGATAGACAGAGAGGAACAGATATTTGCAGATACAAGGGAAAGACCGTGAGAGAGACTTTATGCTATGTATACATATATAGTGCCTAGTAATATAATCTTGCTTTAGTAACAGCAGATGACCACTCTTCAGTCCTCTGTTTTGTGAATGACTGTACAGAGCAGTAAACTGGAGAAAAAGGAGGAGGAGAATTAAGATTTAAAACTAAGCTGTTTGTACCCAGTATGGCTAACAGTTGTTCAGTGTGCTTACGTTCAAGAGGAGAGGGATGGACTAAGCTGAGGCGGATTGCATCCCTCTGAGTATATTTATACTCCTTACAAACTGTGGAGTGCCAAAACGTGAGGCTGAAGTGGGGGCACCAGGCAGTGGGGTAGGGAGTGAGGTGGAGCATGCTTGTGTGGCTACTGTTGCTATGATACAAGTTTCTTTTTCAATTTGTTTTTCCTTCCTCCCACCCTTTGCTTCTCCCCTTCCCTGTACCCCCCCTTTTTTTTTTCTTTTTTCTTCTGCCTATTGCTCTGTCTGAGCCTGAAGGAGTTGGAGGAAAGCAGTGCCAATGAGGGGCTCTAGAACTCACTTCACAGGGGAGGGCTCTGTGTGTGGGTTAGGGAGTCAGTAACAGGGCATATGAATACCCAAGGGTCATGTTTCATTGCCATGGCAAGACAGATTTCTTCACATGAGCTGGGTGCATTCATGTCAAGGAAGAGGCTTTCACTTTTAATGTACCCTAAACTTTCTTTCTCCAACACACTGGACTTGATTCCTCAGCTGTACCCCAGGCTGCTCTCAATCTAGCTATCTACAATTCATCAGACACCTTAAGCTGCAAGTTTTTCAGGGTGTTGTTTTGGTTACAGGTTCTTAACTGCTGCTCATCTCCTGCTGATATTGCACAAAACCTGCCAAAAGCCTTCTTTTGTGGATAGAAATGAATCTGGATTAGTTTCCAGACATTCTGTCAAGGAATTGTACAGCACATAAGCTCCAAAAAGCAAGGGTTTTTTTTCCATGACCGTTTCTGTACAGGCGTTTGTCTACTTTTATCCACATATGGTTTGTTTTTCGGAAAAAAATTAAATAATTCAAATGTACATTTCAAATGAGTGTGCTTAACAGCCAGGAATAGTTGCTTTGTTTTACACATGGCTTCTAGTGGTTCAATATGACTGGACGTTTGGCTTTTCTGTTGCTTAGCATGAAGTGTAATAAGAAAGAGAAATAAGGAGGAAGCAGGACTAGCAATTTTCATTGAACTTGACATTTATTTTTTTAATTGTGTTTAATCTAAATGAAGGTGTTGGTCTTACATAGTTGCTATTCAAATCAATATGCTCATGTGCTGATTTAAATGATAATGTTAATGTAAGTAGGTTAATATCTCAGCCCCACACTGCTCACTAGTCTGCAACATCCAACATCTTTATCTCCTCCTCTCTCCCCAGCACTGCAGTGATAACACCCACCATTGCCAGTCAGATATGAATATAGTAGGTGCTTGGAAGAGAGGTTACACTGGAAAGAACGTTGTGGTCACCATCCTGGATGACGGCATTGAAAGAAACCATCCAGACTTGATGCAGAATTATGTGAGTGTCCACAGGAGTCCAGATTTTCTGCTTTATTATTACCCCAGATAAATTTGCTGCTACTGGAAAGATGGAGGGAGGGGGGAGGGAAGGTTTCCTTCAAATATTAACACCAATGGAAGGACAGAAGACAGCTTTTGGTGATCTGTATTGTTTTAGCTAAAACTATGTTCCATCTGAATCTGTTTAATGTTTGGATGTCACTTGTAGCTGAATTTCTGAAGGACTGGAATCAATCATCAAATGCTTTTTCTCTTTTCTGTAATTATTTTGCTTAATATCCTCACATTCTCAGAACTTAGAAATGAAATACACTGCTTTTCAGTTAATGCATGCAGCTGAAGTCCATTCTTGGCCAATGCAGTTAGCTAGCGAGACAGTAGCTTTTCTCAAAGACTAATTTTAGGCATATCCTTCCATGTATTTATTTTTAAAGCCATTTATCTTACTGCTAGAAATAATGTTAAAGGAAAAGGACATGACTTGTTATGATTCATTCAGTTAAAAACAGGTGTAGAAGATTTTGGGGTCTTTCTAGTAAATCTCTCTTATCTCCAGTGAGTCCCCTCAATTTGTAATAGAGCTGTGTCATTTGTTTTCCTTGTCCTATGTCTCGTGTCACCTCAGGAGGTTTCTGATTGCTTGTGGTTCATCACTTTTAAGTGATTGGTTTAATATACCTTGGAGGGTTGTATAACGTGAGGAGAAGCTCCTTCTCTAGTGGGTGACGTCTTCTGTTAGTGTCAGAGTTTGAGGCTGTTCAGAGCATCAGGGCTTTGCTGGAGTGATTAGTCCTGTGCTTTGGTAGTAGGCATTACCGGAAAGCACATGACCTTGAGGACCTTATCTTTCTCTGAAATAAAGCATACAAAGTGTACATTCACGTGAGGTAAGAAAACAAACAAATAACAAACAAACAAACAAATATCTTTGGATTGAGCCAGACTGGTGAAGGTGACCAGCGCAAGGCATGAGTATACCTTCAGTCCTATTAGAGACGTAGATCTTGTAAAAGAGCCCTGCTTTTTGCCAGCAAATGTACGATCTTGACATAGCATTGAAGAAAATAAGGTGACAAAAACATTTTTAACAACCCATCAGAAGCTACAGTCGTGTCCACAGTTTAGAGCCGTTTATCTTAAATTAGCCATACTTACATCCGTATCCTTCCCCATGCTGCATATGGAACTCAGCTTTGAAATACATGAGGAGGACTGCACAAACACAAGTGACAGGCAATTGCCCTATTTGTCAATGTATGCTTGATCCTAATGCATGCCACATCTTTCATTTTAATCTCTTTAAGTTATTTAAACAAACCAAATATGATTTTACATCCTCAGTGAATGACCTGGATTGTGTCATAAGTCACCTCATCCCAATACTGTCCTTCCACTGAATTTAAAGCAGCTATTTATTTATACCACCTCCTCTCCCCTTTCCTCACGCCAGCAAGGAATTCCCCCAAAACAGTACACATTGCTTGTTTGATGACAGATGCCTTCTATAGGTCAGATTATTACTGGTGTGGCTGCAAACAGGAATATTTGAGGTGGATGTGGTAACTGGTTTTGAACAAAGAGATTAAAAAGAGCTGCTTGCCATGTCAACACACCACATGCTACCACATCGATTAATGGGAGCCATACAAACCAGCAACTATTTACTCTATGAACTATTTTCAGCTGTAAGAATCCTGGTAATTGTAAAATATGGACCAAAAATAAGGAGATACCTTGCAAATACTTGAAACAGTTACACTCCCAGGGAAGTGGGAATGCAGTGTATGTTGCATTTCAAGCTGTATTTTTATAACAATGTTCTTAAAAAAATGGTGTTATTCTTATTGCTTGAAACTGTGAAATTTCAGTCATCATTTAGCAGATAACTTCTTGAATCTTGAAACACTTAGCAAAACCTCGATTTTGAGAATGAACTTTCTTAACTTCCAAAAGTTTCTCAGAAGAAATGTAGTCTTCTGGTTAAATGAAACACCACTTTCTATTTCCTCTCTGACCTGGAACTATGCTTTTTCAGCGCATTTGATATCCTTCTCCTTTTTCCAAAAATAAAATAAAATACGTAAATCTCATAATTATTAAATATATAATTCTTTCCTAAAACATGCAACCATCATAAAACCATGGGAATGTTAGTTAACCTAATTACTCTCTTGTGGGAACCTGCTGAAGAATGTATAGGCCACATGAGTCAATGGCTAATTAATGAGAAACTGGTTTTCTTTCTTCTGTTGGCTACAGGATTCACAGGCCAGTTTTGATGTCAATGGAAATGATTTTGACCCTATGCCTCGATATGATGCCAGCAACGAGAACAAGTAAGGCGCTATGACATTCATGACGTTTTCGATCTAGTTCATCAAGTAGAAAGTATCAGCTCTGCTATGAAATTCTAGGAAACTTGATTCCTTATAAAGTAGCATGATTTGCATTTAAATCTTTGTGAAATATATGTTTATGTCTCTTCCATGCACACTGCATAACAATCTTTGAAAGCATTTCAAATTTCGGAGCCATCCGAAAACACATAAAAATTAGTTTGACAGTTCTGGGCATGTGAAATTAACCATTTTCAATCCCTTTGAGATGCAGAATATAAGAAGTGACTCCTACTTTTCTCAGATATCATCTCATTGGAGGGTTACTGTGTGTGACAACTGTCTTGGTTGCTGACTGTCTTGAAGCTTATAGGCTTTGTGTATTGCAGACAAGTTAATGGAAATTCTTTTTTTTTCTAATAATGTCTTTTAAAGTGATGAAGGTTTTACATGTAGAGGTTGAATAGAAACCCTATAAACCTAGAAGTGGCAATTCTGCCAGGCTATAATATCTGTGTCACATGATTGGTTGGCTGTATCTCCATGAATGACATATTTCTCCTTCAGAGCTCTGCTTGCTGCTATTTGTCATTCCAGCTCTACTCTTTGGATGTGCTGTGGTGAAGGTTGGGGGTGACAGCGGGAGGGACAACTCACCTCAAGAAGTGGGCCACCTTTCTGCCCCATGGGTATTTGAGGGCAATTATTTGTTGGCAATATTTTTTTAACAAAGTACTTCGCAGGAAGAAATATATTTCTGTGGAATTACATGAATTAGAGGAAGGAAAATCCTACTAGTTGTCAACATGCTGATCATGCATTTTGTTTTCTTGAGGTTTGAGTTTTTTGGTTTCTTTTATTGTGGAAAGCATTTAGTATCGTTTGCTTGCAGAAAAGAGCTGCAAGAGCTTAAACTTCTTCCTTTACACACAACTGAAATGGTTTTGGGTTTGTGTTGTCTCTTCCCTGCAATCCCACAAACTTTATTCATAAGAACGCAACAGGTGCAAGCTGGGAGTCAGCAGAAAAACTTAACATTTGTTTGACTGGAGAAATCAGTTGGAGCAGTCTTGGATCGCACTTTGATAGGAGAATCCTCTAATGCTCAACACCTGCTTCATAACAGCAGGGAACCATGTGTGGACAGGCTGCAGAAGAGGACCTCTCTATGCATAGCTGCCTGTTACATACAGATCCACTCGTCTTACAGGGAATCTCATGGAGCTGTCATAACTATTTTCAGCCATAGGTGAAATAACTGAAAACTGAGGTGAATTCTGGCAAAGACATGTTTGGTCAGTCAGCCTGATCCTGCCTGGTAGGCTGAGATGAGAAATATGTAACGATTTAGCTCTTAGAAGCTATATAAAGAAATGTACATGCACACACACACATCTTATTTGTGATGACTAGAAATACTGTGTAACACAGAAACATATTATGTTGGTATTAATTTGGATAATAATAACATTTTATTAATTTGGGACTGCAATCTTGGCATGTATTCTCATTCAATTGTTCTTACTTGATGCTGTTTACATGCTGCAAGATACTTTTGTCTAGAAACAAATACAAGCAAGAGCTGTTTCTTTCCCTTTTGCCTATTAAGCATATCTTTCTCATCCTATTTTCATACAGAAGCTCAGTTTACTGAGTCGTATCTGGCTCTACTGCACTAGAAATCTCCTAAAGCAAGAGCACCATGAGAGAATAAAAAGAGAAATTCAGTAAAACTCTTTGTTTTGAAATGTGTAAAGATTTTCCACATGCATGCTTGTTTAAGCAAAAAGAAAACACTGATGTGGAACAAATGGTAGATGGACCCGGTTGCTGCATTGCCTCAGTTAAGTTAGTGACAAGCCGAGAATTTCAGAGGTAGGTGCTGGTACAAAATATGCTAATACTACACTGAAGTTGTTAGGAGATATCCTCAAGACACACGTTCATTGAAAGAGACAAATGAATAAAAGTCTATTAATTCTTACTCTTTCCAAAGCTTTCTATTTTTCTTACAGTTGAGGGATCTTATGTGCGATTGTTATCTCAGTTTTAGACATGTCCTGTCACTAGTGTAGAAAGGTCGGAATCAGCAAATGTGCTATAAATTCTTGGTAGCTAATAAAAGAAATATTTGGTTTGGCTTATGACACGTCTTAGGACTACAAGCAAGTTTATAAATATGCTAGTTACCTGGAAAGAGAGTAGGAACGTAGGAACATAAATTCTTACAGCCCAGAGTATGTAGGCATTGCCACTCAGCATGCTGCAACAACTAATGTGTATGACTGACCGCTTCAGCATCAGCCCTAGCTTTGAAATAGGTGTCTATATTATAGCCCCATACAGAGTATTGGAAGAGCAAAACTGCGGCTGCACGATCACCACAAAAGGGTGGTCATCCCCATCCTTAAGTCATGTTTACTCTTTCCTCCTTTCCCCAGCCTTTGTGCCGCTCTCCAGAGTGAATCACGCTGAAAACCGTGCAGCCAGCAACAGCAACAACAAATTGCATTTTCAGCAAAGTCAGACAGGTACCTCACTTAGCTCAGCTTGAGGTCATAGGAGAGTGAGACAGGCATAAGCAGGCAAAGTGAAGCATGACCTGAACTTCTCACTGGCAATGATCTCATTGGAATCATGGAGACACGGTGGAGCAGCTCGCATGGCTGGAATGCTGTAATGGATGGCTACACCCTCTTTCGGAAAGACAGGCCAACAAGGGGAGGTGGTGGAGTTGCTCTGTATGTGAAGGAGCAACTGGAACGTATTGAGCTCTGCCTGGGGGCAGATGAACAACGAGTCGAGACCTTATGGGTTAGAATTAAGGTACAGGCTCACATGGGCGACACTGTTGTCGGTGTGCACTAAGGCCACCTGACCAGGAGGAAGTTGTTGAGGCCTTCTACATGCAGCTGAAAGTAGCCTCACAGTCACAGGCCCTGGTTCTCATGGGGGACTTCAACCACCCTGACATCAGCTGGGAAGACCATACAGCCAGGCACACACAGTCCAGGAGGTTCCTGCAGAACATTAATCATAACTTTCTGATGCAAGTGGTGGAGGAGCCAAGGAGGAGAGGCTCTTTGCTGGACCTTGTACTAACGAACAAAGAGCGACTGGCTGAGGCTGTGAAGGTTAGGGGTACCCTTGGCTGCAGTGACCATGAAGGGTTTTAGGTTCAAGATCCTGCATGGAGGAAGCAGAGTGATAAGTACAATCAAAACCTTGGACTTCAGGAGAGCTAACTTTGGCCTCTTCAGGGACCTACTTGGAGAAATCCCATGGGTCAGGGCTCTATAAGGTACGGGGGTCCAAGAGAGCTGGCAGCTGTTTAAACATCACTTCCTCCATGCTCAAGATAGGTGCATCCCCCTGAGCAAGAAACCTGCGAAGGAGGCAGGAGACCCGCATGTTTAAACAAGATGCTTCTAGCAAAACTCAAATGGAAGAGAAAGTCTATGGAATGTGGAAAGAAGGACAGGCCAGTTGGGAGGAGTACAGGAATGTTGTCAGAGCATGCAACGATGCAACAAGGAAGACTAAGGTCCACCTGGAGTTAAATCTGGCAAGGGATGTGAAAGACAGCAAGAAGGGCTGCTTCAAGTACATCAGCAGCAAACGGAAGACTAGGGACAATGTGGGGCGGCTGCTGAACGAGGTGGGTGCCCTGGTGACAGAGGATATGGAGAAGGCAGAGTTACTGAATGCTTTGTTTGCTTCAGTCTTTAAGGTGGCCCTCAGGTATCCCAGGCCCTGGAGGTAAGAGTGGAATCCTGCAGAACAGGTGACCTTACCTTAGTTGAGCAGGATTGTTGAGAGGTCATTTCAGCAACCTGGACTCCCATAAGTCCATGGGCCCCGATGGAAAGCACCCACAAGTGCTGAGAGAGCTGGCAGATGTTGTTGCTGAGCCACTCTCCATCATCTTTGAAAGGTCCTGGAGGACAGGAGAGGTGCCTGAGGACTGGAGAAAAGCCAGCGTCACTCCAATCTTCAAAAAGGGCAAGAAGGAGGACCCAAGGAACTACAGGGCAGTCAACCTCACCTCCATCTCTGGAAGGATGATGGAGTAGCTCATTCTGGAGGTCATCATTAAGCAAGTGGAAGAAGAGAAGGTTATCAGGAGTAGTAAACATGGATTCACCAAGGGGAATGCTTGACCAACGTGATATCTTTCTACAATGGCATAACTGGCTGGGGAGGTCAGGGGAGAGCAGTGGATGTTGTCTGCCTCGACTTCAGCAAGGCTTTCGACACTGTCTCCCATAGCATCCTCATAGGCAAGCTCAGGAAGCGTGGGCTGGAGGAGTGGACACTGATGTGGACTGAGAACTGGCTGAATGGCAGAACTCAGAGGGTTGTCATCAGCAGAACTGAGTCTAGTTGGAGGCCTGTAACTAGTGGTGTCCCCCAGGGGTCAGTACTTGGCCCAGTCTTGTTCAGCTTATTCATCAGTGACCTCGATGAAGAGTTAGAGTGTACCCTCAGCAAATTTGCTGATGACACAAAGCTGGAGGAGTGGCTGATACACCAGAAGGCTGTGCTGCCATTCAGCGTGACCTGGACAGGCTGGAGAGTTGGGCAGAGAGGAACCTGATGAAGTTCAACAAGGGCAAGTGCAGGGTCCTGCACCTGGGGAGGAACAACCCCATGCATCAGTACAGGCTTGGG